TTGAACGCATGAACCTGTCCTGAGGGCAAGATACCTCTGAGCTAGGGGAAGGATGAGGACACACCTGATGCCCAGGTGTGTGGGGGTGGGGGGGTGAAACACACCTGGGGAGACATAACTGACTCTGGAAGGGATCACCTATGTCCTGGGAAAAAGAGGGTTTTCCCAGAGGCCGGGAGCATACACCAGTTGATTCAAGTAAGGCCTGATGGGGATGGCCTGAGAAAGAGAAGGTGCGTGGGATAGAGGAGAAGGAGACCACCTGAAGGAAAGGGGAAGAAACACTAAAGAAGTGTTGAAAGACCAAGCAATGGAGAACATATCTGACTCCTGGAAAGGAGTTCATCTCCTGATGGGAAGAAACACCTACATGGGGATAAGATCCAAGGGAAAACAGACTTTATCTCTCTTGTTCACTACTGTATTTCATGGCCTCACATAGCACATGGCACATAGTAGGCACGCATTAAATGTCTTTTGAATGGTTGAATGCATGAACGATCACCGGAGTCCTGGTGGGATTGGAGGTTGATGAGACATCTGAAGCCTGGCGTGCATGTGTAAAAATACGCACCTTGGAGGGAAGAAATACATATGCTACCTGAGGAAAGAGAAAAATTGTTAGCCACTTCAGAACATTCAAGCCTTGAGACAACATCTAAAACCTCAGAAATGTAGGGGAGATCTTCTCTTCTAGAGCCCTGGCCAGTTTCCAGAACTGTCTGTGTTGGGCTTTGCAGGGCGCTGGGGTGGAGACATTGACTCCAGTCCCTTCCCTAGCCATGACGGACGGGATCCTAGGGAAGGCAGCCACAATGGAGATCCCCATCCATGGGAATGGTGAAGCTGGGCAGCTTCCTGAGGATGATGGGCTCGAGCAGGTGCTTCTGTTTGATTCTTATTGTTTCAATTTAGGATTTCCAACTCATAAACTCTGGGCTCTACCCCCATCCCAGTAGCTTTCCCTAACTTATCTAACTCCCTTCAATCTTTTTATAAATCTTTGTTCTGATTCTGTGCAGACTTCCCTTGTGTGCTCTATGATGCTTCAGTCCAAGCTTGTTCTCACCCCCAAAATGCTTCAGCTGCCCCTATGTTCCTGAAGCCCACCCCCCTCTTCTCTGGCCTATAGGACCTCCAGCAGGTGATGGTGTCAGGACCCAACCTCAATGAAACCAGCATTGTGTCTGGTGGCTATGGGGGCTCTGGTGATGGACTCATCCCCACAGGTACGAATGATCAGAATAGGACAGGAAGCTTGAGTGGAGAGTGGGGACAAATGGTTCTGGGGAACATAAGATATGTCTAAGAAAGCTTGAATTATCTCTGGAGATCTTGGAAACCTCTGTTAGTATGAACCCTGTGGACTCTCCTCAGCCCAAGGCCAGTTCCCAGGGTTGTCCAGCTGTTCTCACTTGCCATTTCCCCTGAGAAGCACCCCTTTTTCTGTTGCCACCACCTTAGTCAAATTAAGAACTCTGTTCCACAGCAGTTTCCCCTGCTCTGGAGCTTGAGGCTGATTTGGAACTTTATGAAGCTTCTCAGAGTTTTGCTTTAGACTCTAAAGTTTAGAGGAACAAGCAGCCCTGAATCTCTCACTGACTAGGGTTCCACGTGGGAATGTCAACCAGGTGTCCTGTTATCGGGACCCAGCATCTTTGACCTCCCACTCCACACTCACTGTATTTTTTTTTTAGTTTCCTCTGCCCCTGTACACCAGCAGCACCCTCCTCCCTCCTCCCTCCTCCTCCACCCCTCACCATGACCTCAGAAGGAGGCCAGATGTATATTGGGATTTGAGTCTCAGGGCACAACATATGAGTTCCTCCTAGTGAACAGAAGAATCTAATTGTCTCTAGCTTTTGCTCCTCCGGGGAGTCATGTTCAGGTGCTGGGAGGGAAGTATGGGTGGAGCCACATAGGGGTCTGGTTGTATCTGAGAGAGGCCGGTGTCAGAGAACTTGGTCCTTTAGGGTCTGGCCGCCATCCATCTCACAGTGCCACTCCTGCTGGCCCCGGGGATGAGGTGGCTCGGGGCATCGCTGGAGAGAAGTTTGACATCGTCAAGAAATGGGGCATCAACACATATAAGGTGGGATTCAAGTACATCTCCCTTCTCCCACACCACCCCCTGGGTACCTTTTTTCCCTTCTCCTGGATCCTAATTAATATTCCATCTATGGCTGAGAGTAGGAGCCTGGGTATGCTGGGGCAGATACCTGTTGGGGGTGGCAGGGTACCAGGGTCTCTGACCTGTTCTCTCACTTCCCAGTGTACAAAGCAGCTGTTATCAGAGCGATTTGGCCGAGGCTCCCGGACTGTGGACCTGGAGTTAGAGCTGCAGATTGAATTGCTGCGTGAGACAAAGCGCAAGTACGAGAGTGTCCTGCAGCTGGGCCGGGCACTGACAGCCCACCTCTACAGCCTGCTGCAGACCCAGCATGCACTAGGTGACGCCTTTGCTGACCTTAGCCAGAAGTCCCCAGAGCTTCAGGTACCTCAGCCCGGCCAAAGAGGGTGGGGGTGGGGGAGACTGGGCCCAGGCCTTCCCAGGCAGTCACCCCTCAGCCTCCCTCCCTCCCTCCTGCAGCCCAGAGGGAGAACCCCTCCAGGGTGGGCCCAGCCCTGCCCCCAGCAGCACTCACCTGTGGAGGCAGCCTAAGGGTTTGTACGGAGGTCCAAAGTTGGAGGGGCTGTGGGAGGTGGCATACCAGGTGCCTCACAAGTAACCCTCTCTGCATTGGAGAGAATGCCTTTGGTGCTTAGCCTAATTGGAGCCCCTCTTTTGCCTGCTGCACTAGCTTTCCCTGTTCTAGTCTTGTGAACTTATCTGAGAACCCTACCCCCACATTCCCACCCTAAGCATCCCCAGGGTGGCTCCACTAACTTTCTGGCTAAGAGACCCTAGCTGGAGGCAGTCTTTGGTTGTTTCGGTTTTGATGGCTGCTTCCTTCTTGGGGAAGGGGGGAATGAAGGGCCCTACCACTCTTGTCAGGTAGGGGACTGTTTCTCAAGGCCTGTTTCTCTCTTCTGCCCTCAGGAGGAATTTGGCTACAATGCAGAGACACAGAAGCTGCTGTGCAAGAATGGAGAGACACTGCTAGGGGCTGTGAACTTCTTTGTTTCTAGCATCAACACATTAGTCACCAAAACCATGGAAGACACACTCATGACTGTCAAACAGTATGAGGCTGCCAGGTGTGGGCACTGGCAGGGTTTAGGGGTTTGGGAGTTGGTGGGCTTGGGTGGAAGTTTGAGATTAGGAGCTTAAGAATTCAGGAAGGAAATGAGAGTATGTGTATAGGACAAAGGAGTAGAGGTGAACCTGTATCATCCCCTCCCCAGGCTGGAATATGATGCCTACCGAACAGACTTAGAGGAGCTGAGCCTAGGCCCCCGGGATGCAGGGACGCGTGGTCGACTTGAGAGTGCCCAGGCCACTTTCCAGGCCCATCGGGACAAATATGAGAAGCTGCGGGGAGATGTGGCCATCAAACTCAAGTTCCTGGAAGAAAACAAGGTGCCAACCCCAACCCCTTTAGTCCCAGCCCACCTTCCTATCTTTAATACTGACCTTCCCCCTACACTGTCCCCATCATTGGATAGAGAAGTGCAGCCTGGCAAAGGAGTGGGATCTTCCTCTAGCCCCCTTAACCCCTGGGCCTTTCCAGGTCTCCCTCCCTTCGAATCTTGGCTCTTTTCTATTGAAGAATTTGGCTGCTGGTTCCAGGATTATAACAGAAAAATCGCCCTTTGATATGGGGTACCAGTACCCCAGCCCAGCAAATCAAGGTTTCTCCCATCATACTGAGCCCTCTCCTTTGGCTCCCTTGGTGGAGTTCAGTCCGCATCCCAAAAGCACCATCAGAGCAGAGTCCATATGCCCCTAGTCTGGGCTCAGGCTCAGCCCTCAAGAAGGGCATCTGAGTCCAGCTTCAGCTGACCCTCTGGACCCTCAGATCAAGGTGATGCACAAGCAGCTGCTGCTCTTCCACAATGCTGTGTCCGCCTACTTTGCTGGGAACCAGAAACAACTGGAGCAGACCCTGCAGCAGTTCAACATCAAGCTGCGGCCTCCAGGAGCTGAGAAACCCTCCTGGCTAGAGGAGCAGTGAGCTGCTCCCAGCCCAACCTGGCTATCAAGAAAGACATTGGGAAGGGCAGTCCTAGGGTGGGGGAGGTTGGACATGGGACATCCTTCGCCACCTGCCCTCTGGCTTGGGCTCCCTTTCTCTGGCTGGGGCCTGATACCAGTTTTGCCCACACTGCTGTGGGTAGGGAAGGGGGCCTGCAGGCCCAGCAGCTGCTGCCCTGTCCCTTATCTTCCTGGCCACTGGGCTGCATTTCCAGATCTTTTCCTTCTACTCCACAGCCAAAGGCTATGACAAAACCACTCCCTGGCCAATGGCATCACTCCTCAGGCCTATCCCCAGCTCCTGGGGTGTGCCCCCTGACCAATGGCAGAGCCTCACAAGGCTCTGTCAGCCAATGGCAGCTCTTCTTGGGCTCCCCTGGGCCAATGATGTTGCCTCCAATACCCTTTGTCCCTCCTTTATGTGTGCCCATTGCAGAGAAGGGGACTGGGACCAAAGGTGTGGGAATAATGGGGAGCCCCATTTTGGCCCTGCATCTCAATGGGCCTCCCCTCACCTACTCACCCAGTTTAATTGTGCTTAGAGCCCTGGAAGATTGGGACTTAGCACTAGGAATAAACCTTTCATAAAAGCAGGCCCAGTGAGGTCAATTTGTGGGGGACTCTAGGTGGGTGGGCTGGGTGGAGAAATGCTCAGTCTAATCATACACCAAAATCTTATCTAATCAGAAGAGCTGGGGCTAAACATCTGAAGGCACAGGTTTCAGGAACAGCCCCAGTTGAAGCCAAAGCTTTATTTGCCCTTTAGGCCAGCACCAAGATAGCTGTGTATCATAAGAGAACAAGCCCCAGAGTGGGTTGGGCTTGTCGACCTTCATCATGCATTCATTCATACAGCAAATATTTACTGAGTGCTTTTACTTGCCAGGCACTGCGCTAGACCCTGGGGAAACATCAGTGAATAAAACACGGTCCCTGCCCACAGTGCTTATGGCCTAGAGAGCGATAGAGTCAAGTAACCAGGCAACTACAATACAGTGACAAGTACTAGAATACAGAAGTACAGGGAGCTATGGGAGCACAGAGGAGGGGCATCTGTTGTAGATGGGTGGAGATGGTCATGTCACCTTGAAAGCTGAAACCTAAAGGGTGAGTTGATGACAGCCAGCCAGAGTAGGGGAAAGAGCATCCTAGGTAGAGAAGCCAACATATGTGAAGGCCCTGAATAGGAATCTTTAGGAACTTAATTTGACTGGAATGAAAGATGAGGAGGGAGTGGCTAGAAGAAGACGACAAAGGTCAGGTAGTGAGAGACCACACTAGGCCTTTTCAGGCTGACTAAGGATTTTTGCCATTTGGACAGGGAGCTGTGAAGCCTTTTCAGAAGTTTGATGGCATAGGAAAGACTATGGTTGAGGAAGTAGTCCTTTGAGGCTTAAAATAGTGTAATACAGACCGCAGATCCTTCATATTGGGTAATCTAGTAGCTCAGGCTCAAATTCCAAAGCTAGCACGACCCCTGTCAAGTGCAATCACAAGCTCTGGAGCACCTGTGCTGGGTGTCAGACGTCAGGTATGAGAGGTGGAGGCAGTTCCCAGCGACCCTGCTGCACCTAGGTGTTGAGCCCAAATCTGAACCTTGTCTGAGGCTCCTCAGCAGCACTTTTATTTAGTCACCTCTGTGCTCCTTAGCTAAGGAGAGCTCGAGAATGTTTCAACATACTTCCCTACCTGTGTAGAGGGCTGGAGGAAGGGGATAACCCAGTCAGCAGATACTCAGCACTGAGATCCATGCAACCTGATTTTCCCTTTTGTCACAGCTCCTAGGCAGGCTTCCTGGGCTCTATCAGCTTGCAGTCAGTCATCTGAGTGGAGCTTGATTATTAGTTGGGTGGTCCACATTCAATCCCCCACTTCTTAAGCCACTGGAGATTTTTCAACCGTGAGCGGTACTGACTCCAAGTGACTGAAGGCAGGACTTAGTAGAGCTCGAACTCTGGTTACACCACTTTCTAGCTGAGTGATCAGGGTAAACGCCTGAGGAGCCAGGGCCCTCAGTTTCTTACGTTGTAAAACACAGCTATTAAAAGAAGCCATCAAGATTATGAGTATTAAAGAAGGTAGTATATGTAAAGTGATTCGTTATGTGTGTGGCACAATATAAGCACTCAGTCCCTGTTAACTATTATAACTTTTATTATTTTCCACTGGGGCCGCTTTTCCACAATGCGATGATTCTGGGAATTGCTCTGGTCTTTGGACTGTGGAAGAGAGTCGCTGGATGGTCCGAACCATAATTTCCTCGCTAGGGGGCTCCTGAGGGAGAGCCAGGCAACTAGAGCCGTCGAATCAAGTCCCCTCATTTTTCTACCCTTTCAGCCCCTTTTCCAGAGGTCTGGATACTGCCTTTCCACTTTGGAGCCCTTCGCTGCCCAGACATCCGCGCCGAGATACAGACGATCCCCGTCTTCCCTGCTCTTCAGACACCACACTAGCATATTTCGTAGGAGCCCCCCAGAAAGCCGGGAAGGGCACCTCCAGGAGGCAGCCCGAACCGGTTCCCAGAGTCCGAAATCCCTGCTGTCCAGCTTGCCTTTTATTGACGGAGCCTCATCCCCATCCCTGAGACTTACTACGGCGCCCTTCCCTGGAGACGTCGAGACAAGAAGCAGCTGGCGGGGATCGGGATCCTGGATCCGGGATCCTGGATCCGGGATCCGGCTTACCGGCTCTCTGGCCGGCGGGCGGAGGCAGCTCCAGCTGGAGCCTGGGGGGGTGGCCGCTGGGAGCCGGGCGGGCGGGGCAGGGGA